AACCCTCTGCTTGCCAGGAGGGCAGGGGATTCCCTGCTCTTTGTTGAGTTTGAGCAAACGCAGCAACAGAAGCGGGTGGGCAGTAAGACCCTGAGGCAGAATGCCGGAAAGCTTCTGTCTTCCCTCTTCCCTCCGCCCGCCCGCCCGATCTTATTTTTGCCTATTTTGCCCCTGCGCTCCGGCGAGTCAGCTCCAGGGACCACACATTCGCTCAATAACACGCACAGACATTTCACCTTACTTTTTAGGAGAAAAAATCTGCGTGTTATAGAGCGAAATTTACGGTAAATCCTTAAGGTCTTGAGGGTAGGAGTATAGTGAGAGTCTCAAACCACAGACGCACGTCCAAGCGGAGGAGCAGGGCCCTGCAGAGAGGTGCTCTTTTAAGCTAGGAACTGGGCTCAGTCTTCCCTTGTTCAAATATTAGGGTGTATCTCTTTAAATCACGAGAGAAGAAACAAAGGCGCAGCGAAGCAAAATGGTGAAACAGAGTCCCCATTTGTTTGCTTCCTCCCCTACCTGTTCAAATATAACAATATCACGCAGTCTCTGTCCTTTACTCATCCGTAATTAACGATGAAGATTAGCAGAAAGCCTAGGCTCCACTCGCCATTTAAACCACTCCCCTCCCAAACGCCACACTCAGAGAGATTGAAAACGATTAAGAATGAAAAGCCGTCCACAAAACCCCTCAGCCAGCTGTAGCGTTCTCCGTCCCAATGAGGCAGAAAAATTCCTTTCCTTTCTCTCTAGTCCATTAAGAAATCTCGCTGTTACATTGCCTCCGACTCTTTATACTTTGTGTCCGAGGTCTTTCCTCCACACTCACTTAGCGGCTAGCTTCTTACTCTTGTTTCCTCTCTCCCAGCCTTTTACTATACTCCATTTTCACCTTACCGCCAGTGGTGAATTCCTCCTCCTTTTGCCATATATTTGATCTCCGCTGGGTTCTTATCTTAAAGTTCCTTTGGTCTTAGCTCCTTTATTTTTTCAGTGTTTTCCGTTTGTTTCCCACTACTTTCTCCGCAGTGTTTAGCAGCTATTTCCCAGCTTTTCCGCTGTTGTTGGAGGTCCGCCGCTTTCCCTCGGAGCCTGAGGCTTCACAACATGGAGTCTGTTGCTTCCCCTTCACGCTGCGGCTCCAGCCTTGTTAAACGGCGGCAACACAGGCGAGCACACGCAGCGACGCTGGGTACTTCGCCCCCCAGGATAATCCTCCTGTGGTTTCGGGGTTCACGGAGCCTTCGTGCCCCCTCTAAACCTCCGTGTTGTTTGAGACCCCCCGGAGGGTTGCCTCGCACTCCTTTCCGTGGCTGCGGCATCCCGGAAGTCGGCTAGCGCCGGTTTCTGCAGCAATTTTCAATTCCTTTTCTTTTTTTTAAAAGTGGAAATTTGCCAGCATTTTAGTGTGAATTTATCCTACATTTTGTTTGTTATTTTGCTACTATACACATTTTTTGCAAACATCATTTCCCTAATAAAATTCATTTTTGTATGTTGTTTCCACCAATATACAGTGTTTCTGTGTGCTGCTCTGGTTCGCCAGAAGTGGCTCTGTCATGCTGGCCACATGACCCAGAAGCTGTACGCCGGCTCCCTCGGCCAATAAAGCGAGATGAGTGCTGCAACCCCAGAGTCGGTCACGACTGGACCTAATGGTCAGGGGTCCCTTTACCTTTACTGACCTGCCGTTTGCTCCAAGTGTGTGGATCAGAATGCAATTATCTTTCACATTTTTCATGGCTCCAAATGTTACAATACAGTTCTTTGCTTAAGCACCAAGATGTTTTTAAAATGCCTATTTCAAGATAACACACCTTTAGAAATGTGTACACTGAGACGAAATAATATACCTCTTTAACTAGACACTTTGCGATTAAATCACTTGGATCACCTGGGGAAATTATACAGCATATCATAAGGTGGCAACCCCAAAATGGGCATTTTTTGCAGTTGCCTCTGTGCTGTGGAATGCCTTTTTCTCTGCCATATGTGAAGCAGCAACCATCACTTGCTTCAGATACCTCATAAACACATATCCTTTTGCCAAGTCTTTCCCTGACTCATAAGCTTAGACCCTGTTTCATGTGAATCCCCCAAATCTCTTTCTTGTTTGTTTGTACTAGCAGAAGGTGCCTGGCATTGCCCAGGAATTCTAAGAATCCCCAAAATATTGTGGTTTTTAAAAGGATAGTGTGATTTGTAGGTTTTTTGGACATGCATACATACTGATACAGGGTTCCACGTATGCAACAGCATTCAAACGTAGATGAAAACCATCTCCTCCACCTCAGGAAACCTCATCTGTGACCATCACACCACATTGTGTGATGTCATGGGCAAGTCACATTTCAGTTCACCATCTCGATTCAAAAGAGCATCTGGTGTCCAAATGAAGACCACTGCCTTCTCACTGGGAACCCTCATGCTGAGTTGGGAGACAATATCTCAAGAGGCATCTAAACTGGTACAGTTGCAACTCACCATGCAATAGTGGGTGAAACCAAGTAAAACTGGGAAATGATATCTTCAGAGGTGTCCATATCACCTCTGATTTTTGGACCCATCGTGCCAAAAATCAGGTGAATTGGTGCCCATCATCCTAATGTGGATGAAGATTGCCACCTGCACCCCAGGAACTCTTGTGCCGAGTTTGGTGGTGATATTTTGAGAGACAGCTTAGCCCTCTGAGGCCCAGGGCAAGTGTACTCGGCTGTCCCCACCTGCTCTCCAGAGGCCTGATTGTTATCAGAAGTATGCTGCCTTCTGCCTTGGAAATTTCATCAAGTCATTTTGGCTCATAGAAATATTCTCTGTGGATTTAACCAATCCATTTTGGAAGCCAACTAAATGGATGGTCACCACCATGTCCTCTAACAGTGAATTCATGAATTCATATGTGCTGGGCTGCCATGTCATTTTCAATTTGCAACACATGTCATAATAATCTCCTGATACCTGAACTGAGGGTCTTGACATCTGCCCTAGGTTACGGCATTCACCTGGATCCCAGGCCATGACACCCTGGTATCATTCCAACATTCCTCAGATGAAAATAGAGACATTTTCACCGGAGGAACGTTGGAGGGTATGTGGTTGGTGTGTTGTTGGTGTACATGTGATTTAAAATCGGAAATGTGATTTTAAAAATTATTATTAAAAAAAACAAAAACCAGCAGTGCTGTAAAACCTGGTGGTCTTGTTGTTAAGTTATCTTGTGATTAATGTTAACTGAATATTCACAAAATAAAACAGAAAAAACTAAAGTGACACCACAACACTCCTGACAGCCAAACAACCACTGCCCAAGGCACTTGCTTTCTTTAGAGAAGCTACTTCTGGTTAAACGGAATGCACCACTCATACATGGCAACTCCATGTTGCCTCTTCTCTCAAGATAGGGGCAGCTTTAATAACAAACAAAAGCAGTTCGGTAATCACATTTCAATGGCACAGAAAATAAGAATATAGGTGTCTCTTTTGGCTCCTGGGAGGCTGAGCATCTGCTGAAAGGCCAGTGAGTTGGTTCACAAAGCAAAGGGCAGGGATGGAATATGGTTGCTGGTCTAGAATAATGGGTTAGGGATGCTGGTAGCACTGTGGTCTAAACCACTGAGCCTCTTGGGCTGGCTGACCGGAAGGTCAACGGTTCAAATCCATGTGATGGTGTGAACTCCTGTTGCTCTGTCCCAGTTCCTGCCAACCTAGCAGTTCGAAAGCACACCAGCACAAGTAAATAAATAGGTACTGCAGGTACTGCTGTGGCAGCAAGGTCAACAGAGTTTCCAGGCGCTCTGGTTTCTGCTTTGGTGTTCTGTTGCACCAGAAGCGGTTTAGTCATGGTGGCCACATGACCCAGAAAGCTGTCTGTGGGCAAGCGCCAGCTCCCTCGGCCTGAAGCAAGATGAACGTCCAGGGGTCCTTTACCTTTACCTAGAATAACGGCTTCAGGCAGGAGGCAGAAGGGCTCTGACAGAGTCCTGGAGTCCATCCACCTTCTTCCCAAAGCCTAGTAATCACTAACTAGGCTTTAGGAAGGAGCTCTCATGCCTTCTTCCCAAATCCACTGTTGCTCCAGGAGCTGCTTCCATAGCCCCCATCCACTGGCTGGGGGAAATTGGGACACCCTGTGATCAAGTCAGAAGCTGTGATGGTTTTAGGAGTTTTGTCACTGTCTCATACTTGGAGGTGAAACAAAATTTAAAAATTCCTTCCAGTAGCACCTTAGAGACCAACTAAGTTTGTTATTGGTATGAGCTTTCGTGTGCATGCACACTTCGGGTATGAGATGTTTCTCAGTAAGTGAAGTGGTGGCGTGATGAAGGGAATAAGAAAGCAATCCTCAGCATTTCCTGGTTATAGGAGCATCCATTCTTTTACTGGAGTCTCTTGGGGGAAAATACTGGTTTTAAGGGATAGTTTCAAGAGTCATTATCAGGAGTGCTTTGGACACCCTGCCAATACATGGAGATCTTCAGTGCTGAAAGGGCATGTCATAATCCATTTGCTGCTTGCAGTAGATGAAGTGCACCTAATTATACAAACTCATATCTGAAGTATATGTGGCAATCCATGATAATTAGGTCTGATTATTATAAATGTCCAGTTTTTGCACCGCACTGTTTTCATTATGTAAATTTGGTTTAATGAAATGGTTGCAGGTTTAGAACTTCAGGCTTGTTTAATGGTTGTGGGGGTGTGAGATGATCAGTATAAATACCAGTGTCTCACAGGAGGAGAGCATCACACTCACCTGCCAGACTCCTATCATCACAGCTGAAGCCAAGGTAAGCAGCTCTCCTTTCAAGCTTCCATGCAGCCTTGTGTTGGGTGATGTGCATCTTTACAGCAGTTCTTTTATCATGGGTAGTTCTTCAAAACTGTGGGTTTGGTGATAGAATGTATTGCAGTGCAGAAGTAGGAACAAGTATATCTGTATTCTGAAGGATCCTGAAATGACAAGCTGTTTTGGTCTTCCCTCAGAGCTTTTGAATTCCATCATGACCACCCTTCCTGAAGCCAATGCTAAATTCGCCGTTGACGTTTTCAAAGTGTTGACCACTGAGCACCAATGCGACAACCTCGTGTTCTCCCCTGTGAACCTCACCGCAGGCCTGGGCCTACTCGCTTATGCATCTGGTTGTGAACAAGCAGATCAGATCGAGAAGGTGGGTCTAATCAAGCAGTAGAGATGCAGCCTTCAGACTGGGCTCATCATTAGCAGATACCTTTCCATCACCGGTCATATTTGATACAAGTTGAGAAATGACCTCACTGTGGCTTGATCCAGTAATAAGCCCAGTCAACGTCTCTGCACAAAATCCCATAAATGTGCAGAGATCAAAGAATATTGCATCACTAGGCATGGAGTAGAAATTTGGTTGAATGGAATGGAAATCTTCCAAATGGAATCTTCCAAATTTGTAGTTTTCAAAACAATGTATGAGCCAAAAACAGCTCTTTTTAAATAGATTTGTTCTTACCTGTACTTATTTTGTAAAAGTAATATTTACAAAATATCATATATTAGGGGGAAATGTGCATAGAAATGAAGATGTTAGTGAAAGTAGCATAACACATGCATTATATTGGGAAAATTGCTTGCAGAAATGTGTACATTAGTAAAAGAAAATGCATCTAAAATGGGTTTATTAGGAGAATTTCACACTAAAATGCTTGTGATTAAAAAAATTGCAAACTGTTGGAGAACTAAATTTAAGATTTGATTCCTTCAGTTCTCATCCTATATGAGATTTGTTGCTATCAGCTCAAGGCAGAACCATAGATTGCCTAAAGTTTGTTTCAAAGATTAGTATGCAGGAAGATATCCATCCTGCCAATGTCACATATGATCTAAGAGTCGTGTGAATCGTCCCTAATATACATATCAGGATAATAAGTGCTGCTGTTATAATATTGCCTGTGCAACTGAAGCAATGTTTCAATTTCATTCAAGGTCCTGCATTGGGATGAAGTGAAAGAGTGTGACAAACCCAGAAGCAGGAGCCTGGGACATTCAACAACCAGACTAAGAAGGGTATGTAGAAGAACACTTGGATAAAGGTGTATTCCTCCCCTGCCCATAGAACCCAGCTTGCATATTAGTATTATCTCCTGTTATCTCATCATCAAATCCATGCCTGTTGGGAAGAAACCTATCTGAAGGAAGAACAGAGGCAGCGAGCAGTCAATCAATGAAAGCGCAAATGTCATTTTCACAAATACATTTGAAACAAAATATTCAGATGTGAAGTTAACTGCCCCTCCTTAAGTTGAATGGGGAATACAGGCTGCAATTATTTGTGGTATATTTGTGGCTTCTCATTTGTGGTATCAGTGCAACATTGGGAAAACTATACAGTTCTATGAGTCTACTTATGGATACATACATTTTGTAACTTCATTGCAGGCACAAGAAAAAGTTGAAACCTGCCCCAGACCAAGACCCCGTCCTGAGCCAACCAAGCCTGAAGCAACTTGCCCCAGACCAAGACCCCGTCCTGAGCCAACCAAGCCTGAACCAACTTGCCCCAAACCAAGACCCCGTCCTGAGCCAACCAGGCCTGAGCCAACTTGCCCCAAACCAAGACCCCGCCCTGAACCAGAGCAACCTAAACCTTGTGACAAGAGACGAGTCATTCACCGCCCAGCTCCTTGCCCTGAGCCTGAGCCTGAGCCACGTTGTCCTAGACGCGTAAGTTGTGAAACATCTGGAGAGTTTCATCTAGATGATTTTTTCTTTATTTTTTATTTAAAATTTAGGGAGCTGTCTCTAAGCATTCTACATGATACCACACAACTTGTGATAAAATTGACAGGAAAGTAGGGATGAAACCGCTAAATTCTTGCTTAGATGTGAAGTTCATTGGGTGATGTTGAGTCAGTCACCATCAACCCCCATCTAATGTTGCTGTGAACATAAAATTGAGTAAATCACAAGAAAGGTGTGCTGGGATGCCTGGAGGGATTCAGATGTGATAAATGTTTACTTCAGAGTAGGCATTCCTGAGTTCAGTATAACTTTCAAGTAAGCATTCCTGCCTGAGATAAGGGTATAGATTTTCTTTCTCACAAGACAAACCCTTAAGAAGCAGCCAGGTGTCATGAGAATTAACCTTCTATTTTGAATCCTTAGGATGTTCCCTGCTACGAGTGTGAGGAGCCTGAAGGAATCCATACGGCATTCAGCAAAATCCTTGCAACTCTTAATGAGCCCAGCAGCAACTATACCCTGAGCTTTGCCAACAAGCTCTATGGAAACAAGGACATTGCCTTCATCCAGGTAATGCTAATTTTGGCTCCTATGGGTGCTTCACTGTACTGTGAGAACCAAGTGCACATTGCAACTTGCAATTGGCTGTATTCTACCATAAATGCATTCATCATCTCCTAGTGTCTGTCAAAGCTGTGCCTCATTCCCAGGCCATCAGAGGAAATGATAACAATTACTTGGTCTACAAAGTGCTTTACCTACAAAATCCAGTGATGGTGGTGGTGGTTGCTGTTGCTTTTATTATTATTATTTATTATATTTATACCCCACTCATTGGGAGGAATTGGGAGGAACTGAATTTTTGAGGGCATTAGGCAGCAATTGGAAAATTCCCAAATGAGAAAGGTGATTATGGATAATATATGGATTCAATGTTTTCTTGTTCTGTTCAGAAATTCCTTTACTGTGCTCTGAAACTGTACTTGACTGAAGTGGAGAACGCTGATCTGCATAATGCCCCAGAGGAAGTGAGGAGACTCATCAACCTTTGGGTCGAAGTCCAGACACATGGTAAGACCACAGCACACTCCAATGACTTCTTGATATAACTTTCATGACAGGGAGGTCATGATTTTTATTCTGCAAACCAGGAACCAATTAAATCTTACTGAACCAACAATCAGTTAAGAGCCCATTGTGGAATAGCCTCTACTCTCTTCCAACCCAGAGGAAAGGTCAGATTATCAAAATAAATGAAACTGGTGTCCATAATATTTTGTTTATTAAAACATTTAAATACCTCCATTCGGCTGCAAAGGACCACTCAGGGTATAATTAAGTACTTCATCTATCAAGTTGCTTAATTTATCTTCTATAAATAGTGAGTTAGAAATTTTATGCTAACTCATACAGTGTAATATTATAACTAAAATCTGAATATATATATTTTTTATTTTTAAGAAAACCTACTATATCCATTTCTTTCCCAGGTAAGATCAAGGACCTTCTCCCCAAGGACAGCTTTGACTGCCTTGCTCAGCTCCTGCTGGTGAATGCTCTCTACTTCAAAGGACAATGGGAAGTGAAATTTGACAAAGAGCTCACAGAAGAAGCTCCCTTTTACCCTCATTATGCAGATGAGGTGAGTTAGAAACATATTCCTAGCTTCCTTGCTTTTTTTGTGCAGAGACAATGTACCTTGTAACTTCCAGACTACATGTTTAGTTTGGAGTTGAGTTGCCCCAAGGAGGTCTTGATGGAGGTTCAAACACTTGAAACACTTGGTGCAAGGAAGGCTCTGCAATGCTGGACAGTTGTCACCCCTTTTAGCTAAAGATGATGGCCCAAAACTAGAGTTAGCTGTCCTAGAGCCCCACTGCTAACAATGGGGTTTAACTTGGCCACTTGATACCAGTCCAATTGATTTCAATTTAATAGGATTGTTGCTGAAATTACAAAAGAGAAGAATCTGCTGTCTCCCTTTTCTTTTTCTCTGGGAGGTGTTTTTTGTTTTGTTTTTTCGTTTTGCAATGCCGAATCTCATGATCTCAAAGAAAGAAAGAAAGAAAGAAAGAAAGAAAGAAAGAAAGAAAGAAAGAAAGAACTTCCCAAAGAAAACTAAGTTCCTTCTCTCTTTTTAAATATTTCCTTTTTCCCTTTTCTTCACAGAAGGAATGCCACAGCGTGCAGCTGATGCACAGGAAGGGTGTCTACAATGCAGGGACAATTGACCTATGCAATGTTCAAGTCCAAGTTGTTGAGATCCCCTACAAGAACAATGAACTGACCTTCGTTCTGCTACTGCCAGTAGACTGCAATGCAGAAGCTCTTGAACAGGTAAATGGTCTTTCCATTCCTATGATACTGTCCATGGCCTTATTCACCTTATCCATCTCTGGCCCTCGATTTCAATAATACTGGTGTGGAAAAAGTCTGTTGATATATTTTTCTTATTGTATTCACCCTTGTTTTGATTAAATCTGGGATTGGAATGATATCACTATAACTTCTATGTGTTCCTCTAGCTGGAAGATGGACTTAGCCACAAGCATCTGCTTGACCTGTCCTGTCATCTGAAGGCCATTGAGGTGGATTTGGCCATTCCCAAGTTCAGCTCAGAGAAGAGCATTGAAGCCAACGAATACCTGAATCTGCCGGATCTGACTGACCACGAAAAGGCTGATTTCTCTGGAGCAACCACAACAGAAGGCGTGGCTCTGACTCAGCTGGTCCATGATGCTGCTATCGAGATTGATGAGGAGGGTGGTGAAGAACCAGAGCCAGTCCCTTGCCCCAAGGATAGGCGTCCACGTCGGGAACCAGTGGAGATTCGGGCTGACCATCCTTTCCTCTATTTCATCGTGCACAACTGCACCCAGAGCATCATTGCTCTAGGTAGATTTGCTAAGCCAGAATAAAGGAAGAGTTCTGATGCATGGAACAAGATCAATGGAAAACGGATATGGAAGATGTTTTATAGAAAAAACCCTAGTATTTCCCCCTCTCTGCCTCATATTTTGTAATGTCAATCATTGCAGATACTTGGTCAAAGAGAACTTTCATTTGGTGGTGGGCCTAATTTTCATGGTATGATCATGATGTTTTAGAGGATTGCTGTCCTACCTGTCTGCAATTCTTTCTCTGCCTATTTTACAACTTTTCGAGGAAAATCTTGCCTCCTGAGTGCTGAATACTGTCCTAGTTCTTAAACAGAAATCTGGGTCATCAGAACAGCTGATAAAACAGAAATGTCTATATTCTGAATGGAAGAGAGCTTCTTTCCCTTAAGGTCTTGCATGAAGCGCAATATTCGGGGTGTGAAGTTTTCCGTGCTACTATAGCACTGTGATCGAAGAAGCTGCCCTTCTTTGGGCTACAGTTGACACCAGAATGGAGCCTGGAGGCAGGAATATGTCACTACTCTGGAATCTGCTTCCTGATGAATGTTTTCCTGTTGATTCCTGTTGCAATCCTGTCTGAATAACTGAAACACATTTGTATGCCTTCTGCTGAATTACTTTCCCTGAAGTCAGCATGAGGATTCCAGCCTACACCTACTTACCTTTGAGTAAGCTCTGCTGAATTCAGTGGGACTTACTTTTGAGTAGACACATATAGCAATACAGGACAAAAACAGTAAACTGTAGTGTGGCTCCTCAAACTGATTTTTTTTGGCTATGATGTCTGTGAGGCTATACTCTTTCTTTGAAACCTATGAAACCCTGTAGCATCTTTTTTTTCTGAACTGCACAATATCTCAATAAACAAAGCATTTAATAACATTGTTGTTTTGTCGTTTTCACTTATGTGAGGTGCATTGTAGAGTATGGGTTCTCAAGAGTTGTGATGAAAAGTCTTCCCAAGGTACTCAGACAACAGTTTTTTTAAGCCTCACCTAGTGTTCTAAAGCCAAACTATAAGATAGGAATCCCCCATTCACATCCAAAAACTGAGACACAGGAATACAGCTAGAAATACACACAAACGTAGCCACGCAAACAACCCTCAGTTCTGCTCCCCCCCTCAACTTAAACACAGCTAGACAAGACCCCACAGCCCCATGTTATCACAGTCAGTCAACCTCCCTGAAAATAATCTCTACCCAAACACAGGGAAGCAACATTTCCAAAATAAACCTATATGAAAACAGTCAAGCAATACCCACCAAACCCACCCAAACATAGTGTGGTGTAGTGGTTAAGAGCAGTCGACTTGTAATCTGGTGAACCGGGTTAGATTCCCCACTCCTCCGCATGCAGCTGCTGGGTGACCTTGGGCTGGTCACACTTCTCGGAAGTCTCTCAGCCTCACTCACCTCACAGAGTGTTTGTTGTGGGGGAGGAAGGGAAAGGAGAATGTTAGCCGCTTTGAGACTCCTTAGGGTAGTGATAAAGTGGGATATCAAATCCAAACAGGGAACTGCCCCTCCCAAAAGGACTACACGAACCCAGCCAGGATACTCTGAAAATACACACACAAGGACACACATACCCCGCAAACTGCATACCAACACAGCCAGGAACAGCCTTCCCTCCAGCTGAGAAAACCCCACAAAAACATAGCCCAGGAACACTGCCAACCGCTTACACAAGCACAGCCAGACAACACCCCCCTTTCCCAAACCCCCAAACACCAACCAAGAACTATCACCTTCATTCCAAAGCTCCCTCTATACACAGCCAAGCACTCCATCTTTCTAACCACTCCAAAAATTCTACACAAATGCAGCCTTGCAGCATTTTGCTCCCCTCCAAAATACCCCACACAAGACAGCTGGGCAGCATGAAGCCCTGTCCCCACTCAAAATACTCAGTCAGACTATCACCTGAAATCCCATACAAAACATGGGAAGGGGGTGTGTGGTGATCACACAGGGTCCCTGGATGTTTGGCGGTCTATTGATCCCTGTGCCACCACTGTGATTGCTTCCCCGCTGCCACCAACCCGTTTCTCCCGGGTACACACGGAGTCCAGACAGTTGTTAACATTAAACCAAATAAACAAGTTTATTTTATAAGCATTAACAAGTTTATTGTTTCTGATAATTTTTCTTGTAAGTTTCTTAATCTTAGTTTCTTTACCGGCCTAAAACCTCCTAATAACTTCTAACTGATTATCCCAACTGTCTATCTGACTCCTCTTAACAGATTCTCTCACTCTCTCACATCAAACTATCCCAACCCACAGACTTATCCTCCCTCTCTCTTCTCTAACACCCGGCTGACTCCTTAAGAAGAAGAAGAGTTTGGATTTGATATCCCGCTTTATCACTACCCTAGGGAGTCTCAAAGTGGCTAACATTCTCCTTTCCCTTCCTTCCCCACAACAAACACTCTGTGAGGTGAGTGAGGCTGAGAAACTTCAGAGAAGTGTGACTAGCCCAAGGTCACCCAGCAGCTGCATGTGGAGGAGCGGAGACGCGAACCCGGTTCACCAGATTACGAGTCCACTGCTCTTAACCACTACACCACACTGGCTCTCAACAACACTAACTCTAACTCTAACTCCTCCCCTTGGGTTCCCACTTGCCAATCACTTCACACTCATTTAACCCTTTCCGTATGACCCAGCATGATGTCACCTAGGAGGGAAAATGCCACAGGGGGGAATTCACATAGTGAGTTAAATAAAAAGTTGAGAGATGAACATACTTTCCTTTGCAATGCTGAGGTAACCTCTAAGAAAGCAGAAAGCTTTTTGTTCTTATAAGGGACAAGTTGTCCTGCCTGTTTTGGTTCTGCCAGTTTCTCATATTTCCTTCTCTGCACTCCACTTGGTTTCTGCAGCAATTTTCAATTCCTTTTCTTTCTTTTTTAAAGTGAAAATTTGCCAGCATTTTAGTGTGAATTTATCCTACATTTTGTTTGTTATTTTGCTACTATACACATTTTTTGCAAACATCATTTCCCTAATAAAATTCATTTTTGTATGTTGTTTCCACCAATATACGCATTTTTGTGCACACTAGTTGCCTGGTTAACTGCATTGCAAAATTCAGAGAAATGCAAATTTCAAAGAGTACCTGTGTTTTGGTTCAAATATTGTTTCAGAAAGTGCAAAGTTGGTAGGTTTATGTTTAAATGAGAAGTTTATCAAATTTCTCCTCCATTCCAACAGCTTAGCAAAATACAATAGGAACATTCCAAGTCAATTCAGAATCTGGGCAACGTGTATCAATCTAGTAAGAAATTTTCAGTCATGGCCGGGCGTGCAGTACTTTGTTGTGGCAGAGGTTGGATCTGAGATCCAAATGCCAAGCTACATATTTGACTCAACATAGCACACAAAGTATCCATTTCCTAGAAGAAGGAACATTTTGTCATATGTGGTGGGAATGTAAAAAGGTGAAAAGCTTCTGGGAGATGATATACAATGAGATGGAAAAAATGTTGAAATATACATTTATAAAGAAACCAGAAGCATTCTTACTGGGCATTGTAGGAAGTGATATAAATAGAAAGGACTGTAAGTTGTTTTTATATGCAACAACGGCAGCAAGATTGCTATTGGCCCAAAAATGGAAGCAAGAAGAACTACCGACGAAAGAAGAATGGAGGATGAAACTAATGGACTATGCAGAATTGGATAAACTAACAGGAAGGATTCGAAACCGGCGGGACCAGAAATTCACAGAAGACTGGAGTGAATTTACAGACTATTTGAAAAGTATTTGGGATGATCAGAGTATGCTTGTAGGTCTGCAAGAAGTTTTGTGAGGAGTATTATTGGAATTATTGCAAAAATGGATAAGGGGAAGGATGGTTAGTTAAACCAATTAAAGGCAATATGAATTTAAGAAATGCGTAAAAGGTGGTCAAAATGGTGGATCATAAGAGGTGCTGATGGAAGTAAAAAAAAAAGATTATATAAGTGATGAAGTTCTGTGGTATGTATTGTAATTTATATGCTAAAATTAATAAAAATTATTATATAAAAGGGATCCATTTCCCAGAAGTAAAAGTTTGTACAGAAACCCATCAACACCGCCCTCCTCCATAGCAAACATTGCCAGTCACCTGCCCCCAAATACATAAACAAACATAACCAGGCAACACTCCCAAACCCCTCACACAAAAGCTGTCATGTAACACCTCCCCTCTGCACAGAAATACCCCACACAACACAACTTGCTAAAAATTGCTCTGATCCACCCACAAATATAGCCAGCAACACACACCCACAACACAAACAGATGCATGCAACACACACATTCAGACTCCCCAAATAACACACCCATGCAAATATGCATGCAATGAGAGACTCAGGCAGACTGAGGGGATGAGGCCAATAGTGGGGCCAACAGTCAAGAGGGCAGTTTCTGCATGTGCTGTAGAGGGAAGCGAGGGGCAGATGAGGCTCTTCAACCTGGGAAGGTAGTCAATCTAAGAGAAGAAGGAAAACTCTGGTTGTTTTGGAGGACAGCTCTGGAAGGAGGAAAGGCTAAGGGGTAAACCCTACACAAATCTGGAGTGGAGTCCCTAAGGTGGTTGGATGGCACCTTGTAGGAACTGCTCCTGGGAACTGCTGCAGCCAAGCTGGTGCCAAATGCATTGCTTTCCTTTCCTTTGGCCCACATCAGCGAGGCCAAGAGGGGAGCCTTGTCATCTGGGCAGCCCAAGACCTCCATACACATTGCCCAGGCTTGTGCCCCAGGGAGGTCACTTTGGTGCTGCTACCTCAGCGGTCTAACTTCACTCCCAGAGGCACACTCGATTGTCTCTTGAGACAGATGGATGCCAACAACGACAAACTGGTGAGCAATCTGGTCATTGCATTTTGCACCAGCTGAAGTTGCCAAACCATCTTCGGAGGTGGTCCCACGTACTGTGCAACACATTACAGTAATTCAGCTTAGATGTTACCAGACTGTAGGCCACAGAAGTTAGGGTATCCCTGTACTGATAGAGGAATAGCTGTACCACCAGATGAAGCTGACAGAAGGCCACCTGAGCCTTAAGTGACGGCAATGGCTAGGAGAGCACCCCCAAGCTGTGTACTCACTCCTCCAAAGGGAGTGTAACCCCTCAAGAGCAGGCAGTCTTCCACCCACCTGGTCTAGGGAACCAACCACTAACAGTACCTCTGTCTTATCTGGATTGAGTTTCAGTTTATTGGCTCTCATCCAGTCCATTACGAAAGCATGACACCCACTCATCCACTGCCACACCTGTAGATGTAAAAGAGAAATAGAGTTGCATGTCATCAGCATACTGCTGACAACACACTCTGAAACTGAATGACTCCATTCAGCAGCTTCATATATACCGTATTTTTCACTCTATAAGACACACTTTTCCCCCTTCAAAAATTAAGGGGAAATGAGAGAAATAAAATTCCATCAAGCACAATATGCGAAACTGATAAATCAAGAAGTTGAATGGAAAATTAAACAGATGAAACAAAGATCATTCGAATCGGCAAATAAATGTGGGAAACTGCTATCATGGCAGCTGAAAAAGAGACAAAAATTGAACTTTGTTACCAATCTAGAGGTTGAAGGAGAATGTATTCAGAAACCAGAAGAAATTAGAAAGTGTTTCCAGAGATACTTCAAAAAATTGTTTACTCAAGGACCCCAAGTGGAGACTGAGATAAATAAATTTTTAAAAAGCCATGGCCTGCAAAAACTAACACAAGATAAACAAACAGCCCTGAATTACAAAATAACACAACAGGAAATTGAAAGCGCCATTCAGAATATGCAATTAGGCAAATCCCCGGGCCCAGATGGACTTACCTCCAAATATTATAAGACACTGAA